CGGGTGGCATAGTGGTTAATGGCGCTAGAGTCCCACATGGCCAACTATGGTTCAAGTCCCAGATCTGGTGGCTTTCTTTCTCACTTTCCTTCTCTTTTGGCTTTTTTTTTTCCCTTTGGAGAGGTTTTTGCTATAGGGCACATGCATTCTCCAGAAAGATAGAGAGAAACAGAGAGATAGAAAATGAGAAATCACCCCCCAGGGAGAGATATCCACACTGCAATCCCTTCTCCTCCATTCTCCTCTCAGGATCTTGGGCATGCATGCACACATGCCCAGTGTGAGTTTAAGCCACTGGGTCCAGGACTTGAACTGTGGTCAACTACATGGCAGTCTAGCAACATAGCCATTAGGCCAACTGCTGGTCCCATCTTGGTTTTCTTTCTCACTTTCTCTCTCTCTCTCTGTCTGTCTCTCTCTCTCTCTCTCTCTCACACACACACACACACACACACACACACACACACACACACACTCTGTCCCTCTCTGGTCAAATTAAAAAATAAATAAAGTTAAATAAAGTAATTCTCAAAAAAAAAATAAATAAAAGGCCTTCGAGTCTAGCCAGAGTGGTACACATCACCCCCTTGGAAACTGGAAGCCACGTGGGTGGCACAGATTGGGTTCCTGGGCCAAGCCGAACACACTGAGTGTGGCTACAGGCACCTCTAGTCCTAGCTCATTTGGAGGCTGAGCTAAAGGATTACAACACAGTGAGACCTGACAAAAATATTTATCTCGGGCCAGCTGGTGGTGTGGTGGTTAAGGCAGCTGGATTCTACATGGTAGACGGTGCAATTTGAGTGTCAACCCAGTAGCTTGAGAAACACACTGGTGTATGTGTGGGCAAACATGTCCAAAATCCTCAAAGGAGGGGTTAAAAAAGAAGGGATTGTGATGTGACCATCCTCCATGGGGATTGCTTTCTTTTTTTCTTTCTTCCCCACCCTCCTAGGACTTCCCAGTAAAGACAGGAAAACCTGCTAGACAAATTCTAAAAGAGCCATAACACTCGGGGGCCTTCTTATTCTCTCTCTGGTAAAGGCATAAGACTTCTGACAAACCTATTCCTCTGTTTCTTTCTTTTCTCTATCTTACAAAAAAAGAAAAAAGAAAAAAAAAGTCCTTCCAGGTGATTCCAATTCAGGTTAAAGTCTGAGAAACCTTGGTCTAGAAGTATAACTTAAAAATTTCTCAGAGCCAGCAATGGTGCAGAGGTTGGGGCAGCTAAGTCCCACATGGCCAGGTATACAGTTTAAGTCCCAGACCCAGTGGCTTGAAAATCACACCAGGAACATGTGCGTGCATGTCCAAAGTCTCAAGAGGAGAATGAGTGACAGAGCAAGGATTCGAACTGAAACAGTCTGGCTATAGAACCTATGCATGTACACACCCCACTAAACCACACCACCTGTAAATATTCTTGTTTTACACATATAAAAACAATAGCTCTGAGGAACTAAGACACTTATTTACTATTATGCAGTTAGTAGGTGGTAGATTAAAATTTTAGGCCTGTCAGCTGGATTCCACAGTCTCTTCACTACTACTGGGTTTCTGGAAAAGTCATGATGCATTTTTGCAACAGATAGTGCTAGTCCAACTTTGGAAGTACTAGAGTCATTTGTAGCTATATTATTACATGTCATTTGACAGCTGACAGTTCCAGCTTCATTCTTAAAAAAAAAAATTAAATGCTTTGGCTAAGTTTTGGTGATTATATAGTAAGTTAAAGATGAAACACTAACTGCGCATTTCGCCATATTTTACTGTTTTACTTCCGTAAAGGGAAGAACCCTTGTGAAGCTGGTGAACAGTTGCATACAGTTTACGGTGACACTGCTCTACAAGAATGTCAACAATGATTCACGAAATTCTGTGCTGGTGATTTTGATCTCAATGACACTCTTTGGTCAAGGAGCTCCACCAAGTTTGATGATGACAAAATAAAGGCATTGATCGAGTTAAACCCACATTACATGACACAGGAGACTGCAGAAACATGCAATAGCCATCATTCGAGAATTTGCAACCACCTGCAGAAGCTGCGATACATAAGCAAGCCCGATATTTGGGTTCCTCATGAACTCAAAGAAAAGTCAATTTGATGGTGCCAATAAATATAAATATCTGCAATATGCTCATTAAATGTGAGAAAAATGATCCTTTTTAAAGAGACTGAAAACTAGTGATGAGAAGTAGGTTGTTTTCAACAATGTGGTGCGTTAACGGTCTTGGTCCTGACGTGACAATCCGCCTCAAACGACATCAAAAGCAGACATTTATCAGAGGAAGGTTATGCTCTCAGTGCAGTGGGATTTTAAAGGTGTAGTGTTTTCCGAGCTCCTACCAAGGAACCAAGTAATCAGTTCCAATGTGTACTGTTGGCAATTGGACAGTTGGAATGAATCCATTACCCAGAAACATCCAGAACTCATTGATCGTAATGGAGCTGTGTTCTGTCATGGTGTGAGACCACATACAAATTTGATGACCTGTAGAAAATTACTGGAGCTTGGATGGGATGTGCTGCCACACTCACCATATTTGCCTGACCTTGTGTCATCAGACTTCCACTTGTATTTTTTTTTTTTGAGTATTTTTTTTTTTTTTTCCAGGGCGCATGCACTTGCAAGAAAGACAAAAAAAGAGAGAGATAGAAAGTGAGAAATCACTCCCCAGGAGGGATGGCCACACTGCAGTCCTTTCTCCTCTATTCTCTTGGGATTTTAGGAACAAATACAAATGCACTCAGTGTCTCTCCCCACCCCCCAGAGATTTTTGCTATAGGGCACATGTGCTTGCCAGAGATACAGAGAGACAGAAAGTGAGAAATCACTCCCTAGTAGGGATGGCCACACTGCAATCCCTTCTCCTTCAGTCTTCTCTCAGGATTTTGGGCATGCAGGCACACACACCTGACATGAATTTGAAGCCGCCAGTTCCATGACTCGAACTTTGGTCAATTAGGTGGGAGTCCAGTGATGTAACTACTACACCATCTTCTGGTCCTCCCCAGTTTGAGTTTGAAGCCACCAGGTCCAGACCTGAACCACAGTCAACTACGTGAGAATCCAGCAACTTAACTATTACGCCATCTGCCAGTCCTGACTTCCACTTGTTTTGCTCTCTTCAAAACTCATTGCCTGGTACAAAATTCAATTCGGATGAGGCTGTAAATCAGCACCTTGTTCAATTTTTCACCAACAGAGAAAGGTCCTTCTATGAATGAGAAATTACGAAGCTCACTGAAAGATGGCAAAATGTTATCAAACAAAGTGGGCAATGTATAATTGATTGATATTTGTTATTTATATAAATAAATAGCCTTTGAAAAACAGAAAAAAAGTTATGAATTTTCCACTAACCCAATAGATCAGCTGACTTCAACCCAGAGAACGCTATATATGTGACTTTAGATACCTCTCCGTCACTCAGTGTCAAGGTGTGTGTGTGGGGGTGGTGCAACTGGGGGTTTACAAACAGATCCACCCTTAGGACTGCTGATTCATTTCCTCTTTTGTTTCTTTGCAGTGTAAACAGAGTAGGGGGTTTAGACTTGAGAACGAGAGTTTTGCCTATGTGACTTTCTGCAAGTTACTGAACCTCTCAGTCTTTCCTCCTTGACTCAAAAACAGAAATATAGTATTTTCATGAGGATTAAAACACTTACCATAGGAACCAGCAGTTAGCGTAATGGCTATGTTGTCGGACTCCCATGTAGTCGACCATGGTTCAAGTCCTGGACCCAGTGGCTTAAAACTCACATGGGCCACGTGTGCGTGCATGACCAAGATCCCAAGAGGAGAATGGAGGAGAAGGGACTGTGGCGTGGCCATCCCCCCTGGGGGGTGATTTCTCGCTGTCTCTCTGTCTTTCTGGCAAGCACATGCACCCTATAGCAAAAAGCTCTCCAAAAAAAAAAAAAAAAAAAAAAACCACTTAGGTCAGCAGCTGTCACAATGAAAATGCACCATACATTCATAAAAACTATAATAATTTTAGGTAGCTAGCTGAAAAGATCCTAACCAAAACTTGTAAATAAATTAAACCACACGGCTTCATATAAATATCGTTCTAAAGGACAGGAAAGAAAATCTCATATTGAAGCTTGTATAAGGATACTGGCATCTAATAGCTTACTGTGGCTCTTAGGCAAAAAAAGTTATGAGACATTTTGTAGTCTTTGAAATGCCCCAAGTAAGTTAAACAGATAAGTACTTAAGCAATTCAAAAAGCAAATACCTGTAAGACATACGTAGCAAAGAATTTTAAGAAAACAGCTTTAGAAATACTTACCAAAGAATTACAATATCATGAAAATTAGACATGCACCTAGAACATCTTAAACTTTCACCAAAAAGAAACAAATCAGGCTCTTGTGCTGAAGTTTTTCTAAAAAAAGATTATATATATATTTTTTTTTTTTTTTGAGAAAGAGGTTTTTGGTTATAGGGTCCATGCGCTCTCCAGAAAGAGACAGAATGTGAGAAATCACCCCCCAGGGGATGGCCACGCCACAATCCCTTCTCCTCCATCTCCTCTCGGGATCTTGGGCGCACACGCACACGCACCCGGCGTGAGTTTAAGCCACTGGATCTGGGACTTAAACCGCGGTCGACTACATGTAAGTTCAGCGACATAGCCATTATGCCAATTGCTAGTTCCTTAACTTTTATATTTTAAGAATAAAGAATATTCATAGAAAAAGTTTTATTTCCATCTCTTGTCAGTTTTTCTCATTTGGTAGCCCCCAAACTGATATTTCAACAGCACCATTAAAAGCCTGGGCAATAAAGAAAAATATTTATCTGATAAATCTAAAAAATATGATGAGCCTCACTAAATAACTCTGGTTAAAAAAGAATCTTATTTTCTTAGGTGCTTTTGGTTTGAATGAGTCATCTGTACTACACATTATATATTTTTCTGTACAGAAAATATTTTGGACATTAATTTTATACTCATGCTTTAAATCACTTGATATTTCAAAGTAATACCTTTCTTTTTTGAGTTGGGTAAGTGTCCATGTTCTTCTTCGATGGAGATTTTACAACTCTTTATCCGGCAGAAAAAAGATCTTCTAAAGCCAGAATACATGCACGTTCTTCCAGTGTGGAAATTACCATGAAGTTGTAAACCAGCTTTCACAGTAGAAGGGAGCAAAAATAAGTAGAAAAGAATATTTTCAAATAATTTTGAAATTTACCTCCTAATGTTTTCTGATAATGTATTACAGTCTTTTAATAAATTGAAAAAAAAAAAAAGATACTTATTTAAAGCAATGACATCATTGGACAGAAAGCCTGGAGGGAAATATACTAAAAAAAAAGTATTTGTCAAAGAATCACATTTTGAGGACTTATAAAAAGTTGCAATTTGGGGCCAGCAGGTGGTGTGGTGGTTAAGGATGCTGGACTCCCATGTGGCTGAACGCAGTTCGAGTCCCAGACCTGGAGGCTTGCTTTCTGACCTTGCCCCCCCC